TCCCTAAGGCTCAGAGCAAAGTCAGCAGACAAGAGATGGCCAGCCGGGTGCAGCAGGACGGTTTAGGGTTTAGGGTTTAGGGTTTAGAGTTTAGGGTTCAGGGTTTGGGGTTTAGGGTTTAGGGTTGAGGGCCGAGAGGTTTTAAGGCTAGGCTTTGTGGGTTTGTGGGGTTCTAGGGCTTTGAGGCTGTTACGGGTGTTAGGGCTTTGAGGGCTCAGGGCTTTGGGGGTTCTAGCCTTTAGGTTTCAAGGCTTCTGGGTCTTAGGGTTCATGGTTTACCTGGGCCCTAAAGAGCCTACCTTTTAGGGCTCCTTATTATGATTTCTTTATATAAGTCCTTCAAAAGGCAGGTTCTTTGGGGTTAAGGTCGGGCTTAGTTATGTGAACTTTAGGCTTTCTGATTTGCAGCTTTAGGTTTCGTGTTTGGAGTTGGCCAAGCTCTCAAGTTCATGCAAGACGTTTGCTGTGCCGCCGGCATCAGCACCGTCACCCGGCATAGGTAGACGGAGCACGGTTGTGTGCGATTTCGCTGGAAACCGGAGGAAGCTCTTGGACTTGAGGGGTTTTGCAGTTCATGGCTTAGCAAGGTTTTCAGAGGTGGGATGTTTTAAGGAGGGCCCATGAACTCATGTGTATACCCATCATACTGAATCATATTCCCTGTGTGACTCCAAGGCTACTCCACATCGTACAGTACATGCTTGCACGCCTGTAAACTCCACATAAACTTCCAGGACCGTGTAGGCACTCGTGTCTTAAATGGGAGTCTCAGGAACCCCCAAAACGACATAAGCATAAGCATTTTATAGGGATATCCTTACCTTATTGGGATTCATTACAAGGAGGTTTATATGGGATATCCCTATCCTATGTTTTGCTTATGTGCTCTTTTGGGCCCCTAGAGTCGCTCAACGGCAGGAGACTCAAGAGGTCCAACTGTCACAAACCTGTGGACAAATTCACTTAAAAGCTAACATGCCAAGACCCAAAAACTAAATTTGGGGTTTAGGGTTTAGGGTTTAAAGCTATTGAAGCTTGAACCCCTAAACCCCTCTAAGACACATAAAGCTTGTTAAGCCCTGAACCGCTAAGACCCACACAACTTAGAAGCCGACACCCTAAAGGGACCCTTTATAAAGCAAGAACCCTTTGAAGGAAACTCAATAGAAGCCTCATAGACCCCATGTATCCCTACGGTTAGGGTTTAGGGTTTGGGGTTTAGGGCCCTAAACCCTAAACCCTAAACCCAAAACCCTAAACCCTAAACCCTAAACCCTAAACCTTAAAGCGCCCTTAAAGCACCGGATCGAGCCATAAACTTGGTGCTGCCAGGAGAACGAGGCCGATGTGGGCTGCGAGACCCTGAAGACTCTCAAGGCTTGGATCCCAGCTGCCGTCTGCATGATGTATGGGTGGTTTTGGTTTAGGGTTTTCTAGGTTTTTTCTAGGTTTTTCTAGGATTTTCTAGGATTTTCTAGGGTTTAGGGTTTAGGATTCAGGGTTTGTGATATGTTTTTCTAGGGTTTTCTGCGTTTTAGGGCTTTGTTGGTGGAGGATTTCGGTTTACTTGGACCCTGAAGAACCTACCTTTTGCAGGACTTCTGTAAGGAGGTCGTAATAAGGAGCCTTAAACAGGCAGGTTCGTTCGGGTCCAGGTAGGGTTTATAGAGTTGAGGGATGGTAGGGGGATTTTTGACCCTTGAGGCTTTTAGCTTTGGATTGGCCAGAAAGCCCAGACTCCTGATCTGTGATGGTAATTTAGACCTAGTTCTCCAACACCCAACCTTTAAACTGTTTGGGCTCTTATAGTTTAGTAGTAACCTGAAAGTTTAAGCTTGTATTTTCCTGGCTTATTGGGGAAGCCTCTGCCCCGCTGGCGGAGTTTTGTTGTTATTTTTTGAGCCGGAAAGGGGCGGGGGGAGAGAAGATAAGGGACCATAAAGTGTACCATAATGTGCCAAAATCTAGGACTCTCACTGTAAGGTTTTGCTTCTGAAAGGGATCCTAGCTTTGCGATATCACCCTTGTGTTTTTCGGGAATGATCTGCTCGTGACAGGCGATGTTGACAAAGAAGTACAAGAACTTGGTCGGCGACCCGAAGGGACCAAGGGACTGCTCCTTCAGCCCGGTTTAGGGTTTAGGGTTTAGGGTTTGAGGTTTAGTTGATAATATGTTAGGTACCGGTTTGGGCTTGTTATTGACTTCCTTTCTTGGCTTAGTCTGGAACACTCGCCACTATTCGTTAGTGCCGCCATTGCTGTTTCCATTATGATTAGTATTATGATGGTTCGATTGTTAATACTAGTCTTAGTCTTATGTATGTAGCGCCGTGCTTCTGTATGCACTTATCATGCCTTCGTTAGTTGTTTGTTGTATATAATTTGTTGCGTGTTTATCATGTTCCTGTTCTTATGACGATGACGTGTATGATCATTTTTTCACGACTATGATTTGAATTTCTACTATGTGCCGTATCCTTGTTATTGCAGGTTATTGCCAAAGAGCCATAACTGCTAAGTTATTATTATCCCAGCGCCATATATCACCAATGATCGAAGCTCTAAACCCTGAAGCTTACGCCGCACTGCTGGCAGACGGAAACAAGAACCGAGCTATACCACATCATGACCCTCAAACCATAATTCGAAACGCCTTAACCCGTAAACCCCTAAACCCTAGACACCCTAGACCTATGAAGCCTATACTAAGCCCTAAACCCCAAACCCTACACCCTATACCAGAAACCCTAAGCCAGAATCTTAAACCCTAAGCCAGAACCCTAAGAGACCCGAAATCCGAGGCCATCGCCTGGCGTGTGGCGTTGGATCCCATGGGTCAGGGCCACCTTTCCAAGGAGGCGGGGTTGCCTTCCTTCAGGGCGTCCATGTAATGTAGGGGCCCCAATAATTACCAATATACTATTTGACTATTTTGGGGGTTCCTGAATATATTTACAGTATGAAGGGCTCCGAAGCCCTATTCTAATTGTTAAGGTTCTGATATTACCCAAGTAGTTGAGTGTTTGGCCTCCCGGTACCTATATAGCTTCGGGTACATGGAGGCTATGGGTTCAAGGGTTCCTTCAATGGGTGCATTAGGGATCGTGTTTAAGGTTTGGGGGTTTTGGTTTCAGGGTCTCTTAGGGTTCAATGGTTCTTGGTTCGGCTTCAGCGTGTTTGTTTAAAGAGGTTAGGGTTCGTGCTTGTTTGCACCCTGGATTGTCGCGCCTTCTTTTGATTGCTGTACCCTACTGTCCTGTTTCAGGGTTATGACCGTAAAGCAGGTTGCCCAAAAAAGGTACTGGAGGTTTCGGATTCTCCTGAGACGCCCAAAGACCGTTACCCATTTGAGCCTCGACCATATTTCCAGTCGTAGCGGAGGAGTCTGTCAAAGACGCACAGTTCACATATGCCTCGACCACAAGCCGGCAAGCATCAACTCCTACAATCCTCAAGAATCGAAACCCTGAGATGCGCCCGGCTGCCAGGATTGGTTCAACGCCGTGCGAAATCGCCCACCCCCGAGTCCAGGGGCTCTTTTTGGGTGAGTTTTGGGCCTTTTTTGCTAGGATTGCAGCTTGAGGGCTTCGAGTTGTTGGCGTGAGGGGTTCAGACTCTTGGGTTTTCTATTTAGGATCCTATAAGGGAACCCCAACAAAAAGGACTTACAACGGAGACTATAGGTACTTTCCCCAAGTAACCGCCAAAGGCCTCAAAGCCCCGAAGATGTTGCGTGGTTGGAGACCCGAAAGCCGCAAAACCTGTTGCAAGCCGTAGGATATTGTAGGGACCTTGCTAATTCGAATAGTGTTTGGGTTAACGCGAAGCCCTATACACCCCATGGACCCCCCAAAAAAAACACCCTAAGGCTTTTTAACTCGGAAGACCTAAGACCAAGAGCTCGCAACCCCCTTACCCTAAGACAGATATCTTACATGGAGTCGAAGAAACCTACATGTTCGGTTTTAGCGTTTAGGGTTTAGGGTCATGTTCAGGTTTCCCTACTGTCATGTCCTTCTACGTCCAAAAGCTGGTAGGTTATTCCGGGTTCAGGTACGCCCGAAACCGCAAGGGGCCAAATCCTAAACTTACTAACCCTGTAAGCAATCCCTAAGGGTCCATGTGCCCAAATAGTAGATACTTTGGCCCCAAAGTACCCAAATAGGGACCAAAGTATCTACTATTTGGGTACATGGACCCTTAGGGAATACAAAAGCAAAGAAGCCCCGGCCTCCAACAGACAAGATAAACCCCCACTACTTCAACAGCAAGCAGCCTGTAACTCTACGCCCTCCTGGAGGATTTGTTAGCATTCCCCCCACCCCTCGACGGCGACAAAGCAGAACAGTTCCAGGCGCGCACGACCCCTTATGGAACCCGTACAGACCCCTTATCGAACACCTATGGACCGCTAATGACCGGTACAAACCCGAAACCCTAAGGCCCTAAGCCTCCGTGTAGCTCCTCTCCCTAAACCCCAAAACCGGAACCCTAAACCCTAAGAAGTCTGCTGTCGGCACAAAGTGGTCAAAAAAAGAACCGTGAACCCTGAACCCTAAACTGAAACCCTGAACCCTACAAACCTTAAACCCTGAACCCTAAACTGAAACCCTGAACCCTACAAACCTTAAACCCTGAACCCTACAAACCTTAA